AAAAAAAAAAAGGCAGTCCTATGTCATTAAAGGATTGAACCTGTTCAGGGATCTCATTCAAAATGCACATGGAGTTGGGATTTCTCTGAAATCTATTCTACAATGTGACCCTGTTTCCTATTGGATGTTGGGGTTGGTCTAGGGACCTATGCTGCCTCTGACCCTCTTCTTCTGTTGGTTACAGTGTTACCGGTGGGGAGCTGTTTGAAGACATTGTGGCCAGAGAGTACTACAGTGAAGCAGATGCCAGGTGAGATGAGGCCCCAGTGATTCAAGTGTAGCTCTAGAGTTTGGGATTAAAATAAGTCTTGGCTGGCCGGGCGCGGTGGTTTATGCCTCTAATCCTAGCACTCTGGAAGGCCAAGGTGGGTAGATTGCCTGAGCTCATGGGTTAGAGACCAGTCTGAGCAAAAGCGAGACCCCGCCTCTAAAAATAGCCAGGCATTGTGGTAGGCACCTATAGTCCCAGCTACTTGGGAGGCTGAGACAAGAGAATGACTTCAGCCCAAGAGTTTGAGGTGACCTTGAGCTATGACACCACAATACTCTACTGAGGACAACAAAGTGAGACTCTGTCTCAAAAAAAAAAATTAAATAAATAAGTCTTAGCTGCCTTATAGTACCTGGATTGTACCTATTTGAATGGTCTTTGGGGAAGATCAGAGAGCTCTTGTGTGGACAGATTTTGTAGAGCTAGGCTAGAGCCACATACCGTGGATGATATTAGAAATTAAAAATTCAGGGCCAGGAGCAGTGGCTTACACCTGTAATCCCAGCACTTTGGGAGGCCAAGGCAGGAGGATTGCTTGAGCCCAAGTTTTTGAGAAAGCCAGGACAACATAGTGAGATGCCATCTCTTAAAAAAAAAAAAAAAGAAAAATATTAGCTGGGTGTGGTGGTACTACGCACTTCTAGTCCCAGCTGCTCTGGAGGCTGAGGCAGTAGAATAACTTGAGCCTAGAAATTCAAAGTTACAGTGAGCTATGATCAGGCTACTGTACTGCAGCTTGGGGGACAGAGTGAAACCGTGTCTTAAAAAATCAAAACAAACCCCCAACATTTCCAGTTCAACTTTTTGCAAATCTCTTACAAGTCTCCTTTACCCAGAATACCTTTTTATTGTACTATTGTGTACTTACAAGCACGCCAAGGGCTCTCTTTCTACCCTGTTCTTTCCTCTGATAAATCCTAGTATGGACAAGCCGCTGAGCTGAGGTCCCAGTGTGATTCAAGGGTGGAGAAAACATGGCTTCTGACCCAAAGCAGTGCTGGGTTCTGGGTTAATCCAACCAGGAAGCCTCGTGGAGATTGTCAGCCTCTGCCACCTTGTGGGTTGCCCAGCATGACCAGTCTGAGTGAGGCTCCTCCGGCTGAAGGACCATTCCTCAGCCTCGTGCCTCAGCCCCTAGTCCTCCCAGGAAGCTCTGGAGCCTCCTCCTTGTGACACAGCAGAATTCCTCCCACACCACAGTGCTTAAGCGCCTGTTTGGCCTGCCTTTCCCGCCTCAGCTCTTCCCCCAGCCTCGCTTTTCTCTGAGGGTGATGTCCTTACAACCTGGTTTTGATCATCCTCCCTGCAGCTTATCTGGCTTATGTGGCAGCTCTGGCTGCCTCTGGAGAGTGGGGGAGTGCAGCTTCCTCACGAATTTCTCAACCCTGAACAGCCAATGTTTGCTGATCAACTTCAGATGCTTCAGCCTCGGGAAAAATTCTCAAATGGGGAGATGAATTCCAGTGCCAGCAGGGGAGGACCAGGCTCTGGGGCGGAGGAGGCAGTGATAGCTCAGTCAGGGAGACTGGCAGGGAGGAGGGAGAGCTAGGGGCGGGGGCCTGAGGGGGGTGACTGTACCAGTGGGCTTGGCCTGGCTCTGCTGGGACACTTCGCACTTTTGCCATTTTTGGCCAGAAGGCTCTCCCTGCTAGCCCGGCTCTGTTCTAATTATACATTTCTGTGGAGACTCGCCTCTTCAGCTCGGTTCTTAAAGTTTCTTGGGCTGTGTCCTATGGGAAGGCTTGAGCCTCAGCCTCCAGGGTCCCAGTAAGACCCCATGGCTCTTGTGGGAACCCCAGCATCAGATTGAAGAGGAAGCAATAATAAGCCCAGGCCACCCAGGCCAGCACACCTGGATGCTGTGCATACCTGGTAGTCCCTTATGGTGAAGATCTGTCCTCTGGGCTAGGGTTCCTCAACCTTGGTGCTGCTGACATTTTTGACCTCATAATTGTTTGTTGTGAGGGCCTTTCCTGTGCACTGTAGACTTTTAGAAGCATCCTTGGCTTCTACCCACTAAATGCTGGTAGCAACGCCCCCCCCCCCAGTTGTGACAATCAGAAGTATCTCTAGGCATTGCCAAATGTTCCCTGGAGGGGCAAAGTCAATTGAAAACCACAACTGTAGACCGCCCATGCTCCCTGCCAGGAGTTAGACTACAGAGAGAGGAGGATGGTTTTTGTAAGGTGGACAGTCTAATTCAAGAATGTGATTCTGGCCTGTAGTCTCAGCTACTTGGAATGCTGAGATGGGAGGGTTGCTTAAGTTCAGGAATTGGTGACCAGCCTGGGTAACATAGCAAGACCCTATCCCTTAAAAAAAATGTCTCTGGGTTAGTTTGTCTTTTTCTTTATAAAATCAAACGCTACTCCTTAGGTGCCCTGTTTGGAACCTAAAGTGTGTGCGTGTTTATCTCCCCTATTATGATGGTAAACTTCACTGTAGTTACTATGTCTTGCTCATCTGTATATTCTGTGTGGTCCCAAGCACAGTGTTTTACAAACACTTGATAAATGTTTGGCTAAATGAATGAGTGCAAACTTGAAAACAACTTAGGTGGTTTAGTTGGACTCTACTCCCTAAGTTGCTAGCACAAGCCTTTTCTCCAAGAACAAAGTTACTATATAGGGAAAGAAAAAGAAGGGAAGGGCTTGGCGCCTGTAAGCACAGTAGTTATGGTGACAGCTACATACATTGAGGCTGGTAGGTTTGAACCCAGCCTGGACCAGTTAAAAACAATGATAACTGCAACAAAAAAAATAACTGGGCATTGTGGCAGGCACCTGTAGTCCCAGCTACTTGGGAGGCTGAGGTAAGAGAATCGCTTAAGCCTAAGAGTTTGAGGTTGCTGTGAGCTGTGATGCCACAGCACACTACTAAGGGCAACATAGTAAGACTCTGTCTCAAAAAAATAAGAGGCTGGTGGACCCCTGTTCTATTCTCTCCTCTGCCATTATTTAGCAGGTGATGGATGGTGAAAAATCTACTTAATCTACCTGGGCCTCAGTTTCCTTCTCATGAAATAAGTTGAACTGAATAATGTTTACTGTTTCTCCATGAACCTGTGACCTATTGTTCCGTGCCTTAGTCTGCAGCATGTGGTCATGGATAAGGTGGTTTAACTCTGCACTGACACTTCTTTTCCTTCTGCTTTCCTAGCCACTGTATACATCAGATTCTGGAGAGTGTTAACCACATCCACCAGCATGACATCGTCCATAGGGACCTGAAGGTACGATGCAGGCTCCCCTTGCCTCCGGGTGTGAAGTATTGGCGCCACCTGGTGCCAGATATTGGTACTGCATGGGTCCAACCCAGGCTCCCTCTAGGCTGCAGGGTGGGGACTTCACAAGTTCCTCTCTGCTCCTTCTGCAGCCTGAGAACCTACTGCTGGCGAGTAAATGCAAGGGTGCTGCTGTCAAGTTGGCTGATTTTGGCCTAGCCATTGAAGTACAGGGAGAGCAGCAGGCTTGGTTTGGTAAGGATGACCCTGTCTTCCCGGAATGCAGCCCTCGCCCTTCCTCCTCTTCCTGATCTGCCTTCCTCTCTTAGAACCAGAAGCCAGACTCTTAATAGTCCTGGGCTCCTCAGAGACTAGAGAAGGGTGGGAGGGCACAGAGATCCCTCCTGGCCTTGTGTGACTCAATACAGTGAGTCTAGCTGTTGTCAGCACTGTGTTCTTGCTGCCTCAGGGGAGGATTTGAGAGTTCCTGGTAGGCATATGAACTTGCCCTCTGATTTAGATTCCAGACACTACAAGAAGCCCAGCCTGTTATCTCTTGCTGCCTATGTGAGGAGAGCTTATGTAGCAAAAGCAGCAGGAATGAGAAGAGACTTGGGGGAAATTGCTGATGTGGATTGAATGAGAGAGAAAGTGGTTCAGTGTGCCTCTGCCTTCTCTTCTGCTGCAGGTTTTGCTGGCACCCCAGGTTACTTGTCCCCTGAGGTCTTGAGGAAAGATCCCTATGGAAAACCTGTGGATATCTGGGCCTGCGGTAAGCCCATTCCACACTCTCAGCTTTTCGGTGTTAAGGGCCCTCGACTTCTGATGATGGCGAGAAAGAGGCATCGCTATTCCTTGCGGGTCGCACAAGTGCCTGGTGTATGTGAAATCACAGTGTTTACTCTAGTGCCCCTGGGGTGACTGTTCCTACCACACCCTCCTCCCCAAGTACTTCCTGGAGTATTTTGCATCCTTCTTGGATAGAGATTTGCTCACACCTTAGAGGATGGGTTGTGCCTAGAGAAATCCCCGATGTGACTTGGTGCTATAGGAGTGAGGCAAAGCAGGAGTGGCTGGTGGCTCAGCATTATCAGCTGGCATCCACCTCTAACTGTGGAATGGCCTGTGCCTTTCTGGGTGGCTCTGAGCCCTGCATGGCTTTTCTTGGTTCCTCAGGGAAGTAGTGACTGACCCCAGTGACCTATGTGTTCTGTCTCGTAGGGGTCATCCTGTATATCCTCCTGGTGGGATACCCTCCCTTCTGGGATGAGGATCAGCACAAGCTGTATCAGCAGATCAAGGCTGGAGCCTATGATGTAAGGACCGGTTTGCTGGAGAGCCGAGCAACCGAGCCAGAAAGGGCAGATCCCCTGGTCCTCTGGCTCTGTCCACGGGAGACAAGGAAGGGAGCTTATTTAGTGTGTCACATGATATGGGGTCTCAGGGGACTTTGAGGACCCAGAGATGGGCATTCAGGGCTCAATTCGTGCCACCCCATACCCTAGGGAGCAACTTTTTTTTTTGTATAGCCTTCTAAAGGTAGCTATAAAATTGAGGAGCCTGCTGAAGTCCTTTGATATTTATTTGTAAAGACTGGAGAGGCCTCATGGTGTGCTGCATAATGTAGGGACGACATCTGGAGGCTCCTCCACTGCAGTGGTGCCACGGGCCATCACTGAGCCTCTGTTCCTCCTAAGTAGAGAACCAGACAACACAGGAGTCCCCTTCCACTCTCATCTGATACTCTGCATTCTAACCATGCTTGTTCTGTCTTCTTTTCCCACTCTTTAAGTTGACAGGTTCTGGGATGTTGCCAGGGCTTCTCCAACTCTCTGCCAGGCAGCTTTAGGTACCACAGAGTATCCCAATTATAGGAGTTGGGTCAAAGACAGAGCCTACATTTTAGGCTGTGAGGCTTACAAAATTTGTATTCCTCCTCCCCCATGTTCCTGCTCCTTAGTTTCCATCACCAGAATGGGACACAGTGACTCCTGAAGCCAAGAATTTGATCAACCAGATGTTGACCATAAACCCAGCAAAGCGCATTACAGCTGACCAGGCTCTCAAGCACCCATGGGTTTGCGTAAGTGTCTTGGGCTGGGGTCGAGGAACTTGGGGATACCAGCACTCCACATGTCCTTAATACCTCCCTTACCTTCCTTCTTCATATCAGAGGATCATCCTGGGTCCTGAGCAAGGACTCAGCAGAAGACCAGGGGACCGGTGAGGCTCCTCAGCAGGAGGCTGATGAGACTGACAGGCCTCTACTCATCTTTCTCCTACACACTGATGTCAGATTGGGGTTTGGTTCTCTTCTTAAGAGGACACACCTCCTTGTAGACTCTAGCCACTAACAGAAGCCAAGGTCAATCTCCAAATTTAGGGTACATACTCAGATCTCAATTCATATATCTCTAATGGAACTATGATCAAGACCCAAGGAATAATCAAAAGGAGGCCTCTTACACCTGTAATCTGGGCAGCCAAGGCAGGAGGATCACTTGAACCTAGAAGTTTAAGGCCAGCCTGAGCAAGAGTGAGACCCCATCTCTACCAAAAATAGGAAAAAGTAGCTGGGCAAGGTAGTGTGTGCTTGTAGTCCCAGCTACTTGAGGGGCTAAGGCAAGAGGATCACTTGAGCCTAGGTGTTTGAAGTTGCTGTGAGTTATGATGACACCACTGTCCTCCAGCTGGGGTGACAGAGGCAAGACTATCTCAAAGAAAAGGAAGGGGCTCCAAGTCCTTAAAAAGAGCATTCTGAAGCTCAGTCATAAAGTTTCCTGGACCCTATAGGCTATCAATGTGGGTTGGCATATTCTGTTTCTGCACATAATCCTATCAAGCTAAAATATCTACTGTCAAAAAAGAGTCTGGGCTCGGCGCCTGTGGCTCAACCGGCTAAGGCGCCAGCCACGTACACCTAAGGTGGCGGGTTTGAATCCCCAGCCC